ATCTAAAGTTAAATCAACACCTGTGTAACAGCAACAAATAACAAAAAGAAATGCAAAATTGTTTCCATATCAACTTTACAATGACAGCATTTACTGAAATCTGGTGTCAGAGGTGCAACATTCAAATGTTCCTCCGGTCTGACAAACTTATTGCAGATTAAATGAGAGAAGACTTCCCTTCTCCATAAGTCACACCTCCTCTTCTCCACCTTCTTCCTCTGCTCAGCTCCTCTTGTAAAAAGTGCTGCACTTTTATTTTTCACAAATGAATACACTTAAATTACTGTTGGTTTTGCTTGGTATAATGGCTGAAGTTAGAAAATCAGAAGTTTTTGACTTGTTATACTAATAATCATCATAATAATCAATTAATAATCAATAATGATACTAATAATCTCTTTTCTAAAACTAATTTAACATTTTTAATTCATCATGTTGTAGTTCTATGTATACTGCCTCCAGCTTAGAACCTCTTTTTATATTCTTTTCATAGATTTTCTTTTTACTTGTTAGAATTTAGTAAATAAAGTTGTTCAAAACTTCAATGCAGTGCCTTTTTTACTAATAAGCCAGGGTTATCTGTAGGTTTCCATCCCCACCAAAGATCATCTGTGCTCCAAAGAGCATCTATTATTATCAGATATTTATAATTAGCTTAACGTCCTACAATTTATCCAACATCTTTTATTACATTAACAAACTTAATACCAATTTATTGATGATAATTGTGATTACTTTAATGGGATAATATGTGTTCATGTATATAAATGGAGAATACTATCCCTATAACTTTAATATTCAGTGAATGAATTTATACAATATATCTCTGTTTACTGACAAACAAAAGTGTGTTCAATTAATTAATCACCTGCTGAGTTGATTGGATGAAAACCAGCTAATTGAGCCACGGTGGAATCTGATTGGTCAACACTGTCTTTTTAAATTGACAATGCCCCGCCCACTCGTTAGAGTTTTTTTAAAGTTTAAAGGTAAACCTTTTATTAATGTTGCATCAGGAGTACATGTTGAGGTTTTTTGATGTCTTCACAGCACTTCAACCTGCCAATGTAGTCAATTCATCGGTTGTTGATATCAAACATGGATCCTAACACCAATTGTTGGCCGCAAATGCCACCTTCAAACTTCCATCTGGAGTCTTCCTTTCCTGCTTTTGGTTGCTTGGGATTTTATTCCAATGGAGTTTCTCTTCTTGGAATTGCTAGAAATCAAAGCTTCACCCCAGCAAGGTAAGAGTTTATGTTTTGTGCTAACCTGTGAGTTGATGTTTTTAAAATACACCATAATGCTTTTATTTTGACAGATAATTATGAGTAATAATAAGTAGTAGTAAGTAAGATAAGTATGATTGGGAGTGATTTTTTTTGCATCATTAATTTCACTGAACAAAAAACAGTTAAAATGATGATGTGATCATTTATGAGCTGCTGTCTTGGCTGCTATTTTTTTCTGTTAATTGTTATGTCTTTGAATGGCTGAGACTTTTCCCATTGGTTGTTGTTTGGCACTTGTATGATTCTTTAATGGTGAAATATGAACACTCATGGTTGAGCATCTTGAGTGTGTTGTGGCTGAAATGGTTATGCAACAGATAGCTGCCTATGTTGCTATTCTGCTTTGCCATATTATTGTCTCTGTTATTACTACCTCCTTCCCTCTGCTTGTGCAAAGTGGTGAGAAGTTTTCCTATAGCTTTTTGTTGTTATTAAAGACAGCACTGGCTCACTGCATTTGTATTTTGATCTTCACTTTTGTTGATTTAGTTTGATCTGCTGTAGGTGGTAAAGTGTACATACCAACAGCAGTAATGGATTTGGATGAATTGGGAAAATCTGTCATCGCTGGGATATGAGGCAGTCTGAAATTAAAAATGAAATGAGTTGGTCATTGCATACAGTTTGTGCCTGTATATTGCAGCCATCAATTCTACTGTGTGCTTTAAAAGTGAGTTTTAAGTAAAAGGAGTTATTTGAGACTGTGTGACTGTAAAGAGTCACATTATTTTTGTTTATCTGTTTTGAAGCTAATTACACCAGCCTGCCTCTCAGGATCTTGAACTTGAAACAGAGAGAAAGAAGAGAACAGGGTTTTTAGTGAGGGCTGATATTAAACCACATCACTGTGTACTGGCAGCGCAGTAATACACAGCTGAGTCTGACAGATTCACACTCTGAATAGTCAGACCTCCTGTTTGGACGTCTTTTCTTGTAATCTTAAACCGATCTTCAAACTCTTTCTCATATGTGGGGTCACCGCTAGTGTAGCCGTATCCAATTAAATTCATCAGACCGCTCTCTGTTTGCTGGTACCAGAGCATTACTGTTAGACTGCTATCATTGTGACTGCATTTAAAGTCCACTTCAGTATTTTTAGTGACTATTTTTGGAGGAGACGGCTGAAACGTCACACTCTTAGCTCGGCCTCGATCTGTGGGGAAGGCACACATTAAAAATAGTTGTTGATACAGAAGCAACTGTGGAAAAAAAATATCAATATAGTTTGAAGGTAATTTCATTACATGGCAACAAGAGGAGAAGAAATCCGATCACAACTGGAGACATCCTCCAGGTTTGCTCTGCTGCAGGAGAAACACAGCTTCCACCAGTGAGAGTCAGTGTAAAGAGAGACACTGCCTCATCTGCAAATGTCTCATTCACAGGAAGGTGAGGGTTTTTAGTGAGGGAGTGGCATTAAACCACATCACTGTGTACTGCCAGCGCAGTAATACACAGCCATGTCTGATAGATTCACACTCTGAATAATCAGAGCTCCTGTTTGGATGTCTTTTCTTGTAATCTCAAACCGATCTTTAAACTCTTTCTCATATGTGGGTTCATTGTTAATGTAGCTGTATCCAATTAAATTCATCAGACCACTCTCTGTTTGCTGGTACCAGAGCATTACATCAAGATTATTGTCATCATGACTGCATTTAAAGTCCACTCTGTTCTTTTCGTTGACTATTTTTGGAGGAGACTGCTGAAACGTCACACTCTTAGCTCGGCCTCTATCTGTGGGGAAAGCACACGTTAAGAATAGTTGTTGATAAAGAAGCAACTGTGGAAAAAAAAAAAAGAAAGAAAAGCCATTAATCTTTTCCTGTATAACATTGAGAACACAGTTAAATTGTTGTTTGTAGGTAATTTCATTACATGGCAACAAGAAGAGCAGAAATCCGATCACAACTGGAGACATCCTCCAGGTTTGCTCTGCTGCAGGAGAAACACAGCTTCCACCAGTGAGAGTCAGTGTAAAGAGAGACACTGCCTCATCTGCAAATGTCTCATTCACAGGAAGGTGAGGGTTTTTAATGAGGGAGTGGCATTAAGCCACATCACTGTGTACTGCCAGCGCAGTAATACACAGCCGTGTCTGATAGATTCACACTCTGAATAATCAGAGCTCCTGTTTGGGTGTCATTTCTTGTAATCTTAAACCAACCTTTAAAATGTTTCTCATAGTTAGGCTCACTGCCAGAACTGCTGAATCCAATCAAGCTCATCAAACCTCTCTCTTTTTGCTGGTACCAGAGCATTAGATAGAGGTTGTTATCATTATGACTGCATGTAATTTCTACTCTGGCCTTGTCCTCGACTATTCTGGGAAGAGACGGCTGAAATGTCACACTCTTGGCACGATCTGTGGGAAAAACACAGATTTTAAAAGTAAATGATACAGAAGCCCCAGTGAAAAAAGGTAAAAGCGTAAAAGTGTCTTTGTAAATTAACAACACATTTAAATTGCAGTTTTTGCAGCTAATTTCATTACATGGAAGCAAGATGAGCAGAAATGATATCACGGCTAGGGACATTTTCAAATTTGTGCTGTTGCAGGAGGGACACAGCCTCCTCCAACAATGTATCAAGAGAGAGCGCCTCAACTGCAAATGTCTCATTCACAGGATGGTGAGGGTTTTTAGTGAGGGAGTGGCATTAAACCACATCACTGTGTACTTGCAGCGCAGTAATACACAGCCGAGTTCGACAGGTTTGCTCTGTGAATCATCAGCGTTCCTCTGGCTGAGTCTTCTCTCGTCAGCTTGAATTGTTCTTCAAACTGATCCTCGTAGCTTTGGCTACCTGTTCCATATCCAGACCCAATGAGGGTTATAGACTGACTGTCCTGTCTTTGCTGATACCAGAGCATTAATGGAAGGCCAGTGTCATCGTGGCTGCAGTTAATCTGAACAGTGGTTTTCTCCTTCACTATCTGGGGAGGAGATTGCTGAAACCTAGCAGCTCTCACCTTACCTGTGGAGGAAGCACAGATAATGTTCAGCATGTTGTATAAATAATGATATAATGACTGCTTTAATGTTCAATTCAGGATGACATTTCTTACAGTGAAAACAGATGAAGAGAAGAGCAAAGGTTAGCACAGATGAGGACATGGTCAAGCACTGATGTGAGTAAAGTATTGCATGAAGAAAAATAAGGCTCAGGATGAAGAGGGAGGGGGGTTGTGTCTGTGCGGGGGTTAATTTATCATCACATCCTCATCATAAAAGCTGCAAACCATGTGCTGTGCCTCCACCTATTGGTTGAATCTATTCCTCAGGACCCTGCTGTATGTAGTTTGGATTCTTAATTATAATTAGCAGACTTTATATGGTCATGTACCCCTTTTCCTGTCGTATTACCGGTGCAGCAAAGTGCTGTCAGCCTCCAACATTTGATTTCTCCACAATCTCAAATAACTAGAACCCAGAGTCACAGCTGTTATTGTTCCCATGTCGTAGGAGGTTTTTAGTGAAGCACTTGTATTAAACCACATCACTGTGTACTAGCAGCGCAGAAATACACAGCTGAGTCTGACAGATTCGCTGTTGGAATGATCAGAGATCCTTTCTGTGTGCCGCTTTTTATCTGGAATCTGTCTTTAAACTGGACCTCGTAGTTTGGTTCACCATTGGCGACTGAGTACCCAATGAGGCTCATAGACCCACTGCCCGGCTTGTGTTGGTACCACAGCATATATTGGAGGCTGCTGTCATCGTGACTGCAATCAATCGTGACCTCCTTGGTCCCGTCCTTCACAACTTGAGCAGAGGACTGTTCAAAGGTAACACTCTCCACTTTTCCTGTGAACAAGGTCAATTTATGTCATTAAGATAAAGTCTGAATTCAAGCAATTTGTAGGAATTCATTTAATATGTGTTGTCCCATAAGCACAGAGTGGTGCAGATTACAGAGACAACAGTACTTAATATTCTTTTAAAAAGTAATATATCAGTGAGTCGGGCTTACTTGTAAGAACGAGCAGTAAAAATCCAAATGTGTATAAAGCTGGAGGCATCCTGGAAACTAAAGTTAAATCAACACCTGTGTAACAGCAACAAATAACAAAAAGAAATGCACAATTGTTTCCATATCAACTTTACAATAACAGCATTTACTGAAATCTGGTGTCAGAGGTGCAACATTCAAATGTTCCTCCGGTCTGACAAACTTTTTGCAGATTAAATGAGAGATGACTTCCCTTCTCCATATGTCAGACCTCCTCTTCCCCACCTTCTTCCTCTGCTCAGCTCCTCTTGTAAAAAGTGCTGCACTTTTATTTTTCACAAATGAATACACTAAAATTACTGTTGGTTTTGCCCAGTATAATAGCTGAAGTTAGAAAATCTGAAGTTTTTGACCTTTTATACTAATAATCATCATAATAATCAATCAATAATCAATAATGATACTAATAATCTGTCTTCTAAAACTAATTTGTAGTTGTATTATTGAACATTTTTAATTCATCATATTGTAGGTTTATGTATACTGCCTCCTGCTTAGAACCTCTTTTTATATTCTTTTCATAGATTTTCTTTTTACTTCTAAGAATTTAGTAAATAAAGTTCAAATCTTTAATGCAGTGCCTTTTTTCTTTCTTTTACAAATAAGCCAGGGTTATCTGTAGGTTTTCATCCCCAACAAAAACCATCTGTGATCCAAAGAGCATCTATTATTTTCATATATATATTTATAATTAACTTAACTTCCTCTAATTTATTTTTTTAATTAAATCTTTACATTAAAAATCTTAATACCAGTTTATGCTTGATGATAATTGTGATTACTTTAATGGGATAATATTTGTTCATGTATATAAATGGAGAATACTATCCTTATAACTTTCATATTTTGAATGAATGTATACAATATATCTCCGTTTACTGAAAAACGAGAGTGTATTCAATTAAATAATCACCTGCTGAGGTGATTGGATGAAAACCAGGTAATTGAGCCATGGTGGACCCTGATTGGTCAACACCGTCTTTTAAACTGACAATGCCCCGCCCACTCGTTACACAGAGGAAAATACAGTCAATTAAGCTAGTTTTTAAAAGTTTACAGCTAAATGTTTTATTAATGTTGCATCAGGAGGACATGTGGAGGTTTTTTGATGTCTTCACAACACTTCAACCTGCCAATGTAGTCAATTCATTGGTTGTTGATATCAAACATGGATCCTAACACCAACGGTTGAGCGCAAATGCCACCTTCAAACTTCCATCTGGAGTTTTCTGTTCCTGCTTTTGGCTGCTTGGGATTTTATTCCAATGGAGTTTCTCTTCTTGGAATTGCTAGAAATCAAAGCTTCACCTCAGCAAGGTAAGAGTTTATGTTTTGTGCTAACCTGTATATTATGAGTTGATGTTTTTAAAATACATCATAATGCTTTTATTTTGACAGATAATTATGATTGCGATATGATTGGGAGTGATTTTTTTGCATCATAAGTTTGAATTTAACGTGGCGATGTTTTTGAGCTGCTGTCTTGGCTGCGATTTCATCTGTTAATTGTTATGTCTTTGAATGGCTGAGACTTTTCCCATTGGTTGTTGTTTGGCACTTGTATGATTCTTTAATGGTGAAATATGAACACTCATGGTTGAGCATCTTGAGTGTGTTGTGGCTGAAATGGTTATGCAACAGATAGCTGCCTATGTTGCTATTCTGCTTTGCCATATTATTGTCTTTGTTATTACTATCTCCTTCCCTCTGCTTGTGCAAAGTGGTGAGAAGTTTTCCTATTGCTTTTTGTTGTTATTAAAGACAGCACTGGCTCACTGCATTTGTATTTTGATCTTCACTTTTGTTGATTTAGTTTGATCTGCTGTAGGTGGTAAAGTGTACATACCAACAGCAGTAATGGATTTGGATGAATTGGGAAAATCTGTCATAGCTGGGATATGAGGCAGTCTGAAATTAAAAATGAAATGAGTTTGTCATTGCATACAGTTTGTGCCTGTATATTGCAGCCATCAATTCTACTGTGTGCTTTAAAAGTGAGTTCTAAGTAAAAGGAGTTATTTGAGACTGTGTGACTGTAAAGAGTCACAATATTTTTGTTTATCTGTTTTGAAGCTAATTACACCAGCCTGCCTCTCAGGATCTTGAACTTGAAACAGAGAGAAAGAAGAGAACAGGGTTTTTAGTGAGGGCTGATATGAAACCACATCACTGTGTACTGGCAGCGCAGTAATACACAGCTGAGTCTGACAGATTCACACTCTGAATAGTCAGACCCCCTGTTTGGATGTCTTTTCTTGTAATCTTAAACCGATCTTCAAACTGTTTCTCATATGTGGGGTCAGTGCTAGTGTAGCCGTATCCAATTAAATTCATCAGACCGCTCTCTGTTTGCTGGTACCAGAGCATTACATTAAGGCTGCTATCATTGTGACTGCATTTAAAGTCCACTTCAGTATTTTTAGTGACTATTTTTGGAGGAGACTGCTGAAACGTCACACTCTTAGCTCGGCCTCGATCTGTTGGGAAAGCACACATTAAGAATAGTTGTTGATACAAAAGCAACTGTGGAAAAAAAACATTAATGTTGTTTGAAGGTAATTTCATTACATGGCAACAAGAAGAGAAGAAATCCGATCACAACTGGAGACATCCTCCAGGTTTGCTCTGCTGCAGGAGAAACACAGCTTCCACCAGTGAGAGTCAGTGTAAAGAGAGACACTGCCTCATCTGCAAATGTCTCATTCACAGGATGGTGAGGGTTTTTAGTGAGGGAGTGGCATTAAACCACATCACTGTGTACTTGCAGCGCAGTAATACACAGCCGAGTGCGACAGGTTTGCTCTGTGAATCATCAGCGTTCCTCTGGCTGTGCCTTCTCTCGTCAGCTTGAATTGTTCTTCAAACTGATCCTCGTAGCTTTGGCTACCTGTTCCATATCCATACCCAATGAGGGTTATAGACTGACTGTCCTGTCTTTGCTGATACCAGAGCATTAATAGAAGGCTAGTGTCATCGTGGCTGCAGTTAATCTGAACAGTAGTTTTCTCCTTTACTATCTGGGGAGGAGATTGCTGAAACCTAACAGCGCTCACTTTACCTGTGGAGGAAGCAGAGATTATGTTCAGCATGTTGTATAAATAATGATATAATGACTGCTTTAATGTTCAATTCAGGATGACATTTCTTACAGTGAAAACAGATAAAGAGAAGAGCAAAGGTTAGCACAGATGAGGACATTGTCAGGCACTGATGTGAGTAAAGTATTGCACGAAGAAAAATAAGACTCAGGATGAAGAGGGAGGGGGGTTGTGTCTGTGCGTGGGTTAATCATCATCACATCCTCATCATAAAAGCTGCAAACCATGTGCTGTGCCTCCACCTATTGGTTGAATCTATTCCTCAGGACCCTGCTGTATGTAGTTTGGATTCTTAATTATAATTAGCAGACTTTATATGCTCATGTACCCCTTTTCCTGTCGTATTATCGGTGCAGCAAAGTGCTGTCAGCCTCCAACATTTGATTTCTCCACGATCTCAAATGACTAGAACCCAGAGCCACAGCTGTTATTGTTCCCATGTCGTAGGAGGTTTTTAGTGAAGCAGTTGTATTAAACCACATCACCGTGTGCTAGCAGCGCAGAAATACACAGCTGAGTCTGACAGATTCACTGTTGGAATGATCAGAGATCCTTTCTGCATGCCGCTTTTTATCTGGAATCTGTCTTTAAACTGGACCTCGTAGTTTGGTTCACCATTGGCGACTGAGTACCCAATAAGGCTCATAGACCCACTGCCCAGCTTGTGTTGGTACCACAGCATAACTTGGAGGCTGCTGTCATCGTGACTGCAATCAATCGTGACCTTCTTGGTCCCGTCCTTCACAAGTTGAGCAGAGGACTGTTCAAAGGTAACACTCTCCACTTTTCCTGTGAACAAGGTCAATTTATGTCATTAAGGTAAAGTCTGAATTCAAGCAATTTGTAGGAATTCATTTAAAATGTGTTGTCCCATAAGCACAGAGTGGTGCAGATTACAGAGACAACAGTACTTAATATTCTTTAAAAAGTAATATATCAGTGAGTCAGGCTTACTTGTAAGAACGAGCAGTAAAAATCCAAATGTGTATAAAGCTGGAGGCATCCTGGAAACTAAAGTTAAATCAACACCTGTGTAACAGCAACAAATAACAAAAAGAAATGCACAATTGTTTCCATATCAACTTTACAATGACAGCATTTACTGAAATCTGGTGTCAGAGGTGCAACATTCAAATGTTCCTCCGGTCTGACAAACTTATTGCAGATTAAATGAGAGATGACTTCCCTTCTCCATACGTCACACCTCCTCTTCCCCACCTTCTTCCTCTGCTCAGGTCCTCTTGTCAAAAAAACCCCACTAACACTCTAATTTATAGTTTTTAATGTATACTGCCTCCAGCTTACAACTTATTTGTTTATTCTCTTCATAGATTCTCTGGTTTCTTGTAAGAGCTTTTGTAAACAAAGTTGTTTAAAAACTTCAATGCAGTGCCTTTTTTACTAATAAGCCAGGGTTATCTGTAGGTTTTCATCCCCACCAAAGATCATCTGTGATCCAAAGAGCATCTATTATTTTCAGATATTTATAAATAGCTTAACTTCCTATAATTTATCCAACATCTTTTATTACATTAACAAACTTAATAGCAATTTATTGATGATAATTGTGATTACTTTAATGGGATAATATGTGTTCATGTATATAAATGGAGAATACTATCCCTATAACTTTAATATTCAGTGAATGAATTTATACAATATATCTCTGTTTACTGACAAACAAAAGTGTGTTCAATTAATTAATCACCTGCTGAGGTGATTGGATGAAAACCAGCTAATTGAGCCACGGTGGAATCTGATTGGTCAACGTCATCTTTTTAAACTGACAATGCCCCGCCCACTCGTTACACAGTAGAAAATACAGTCAATTAAGCTAGTTTTAAAAAGTTTACAGCTAAATGTTTTATTAATGTTGCATCAGGAGGACATGTGGAGGTTTTTTGATGTCTTCACAGCACTTCAACCTGCCAATGTAGTCAATTCATTGGTTGTTGATATCAAACATGGATCCTAACACCAATTGTTGGCTGCAAATGCCACCTCCAAACTTCCATCCGGAGTTTTCTGTTCCTGCTTTTGGCTGCTTGGGATTTTATTC